AGTAATGAGCAATGAACTGTTCTGTAGACCATTCGTTAAGATACACTCGAAAGCAGCCGAAATATATTGTCACTATTTATGGACGTGACCAATAAACGGGGTTTGAATTGGGTGATTGGATTTATTGATCATTCCTTGGCAATCAATTGTAATCACAATCAGTTACAATAACTCACAGTATATCTTCAGCCGAACCCTTCTTCCTCTGATTCTATTCTGTTCTATACTACTTATGTAGTCTCGAGGCGGATCCATAGAAAATACGTCCGTTGCCTAGCACTGGACGTCCTCTTTTGTTGGTTGCGTATTTATTGCGGGCTTGTTTACCGATTCGTTCACCGGCAATGGGTCTACATGTCACAATGTTATTAAATCTAAGAAATGGAATAATATTGTAGTACTTTTCATTTGTACATAGTCTGCAAAAGTAGAACATTCTAATAGTTTGCTCTCTTCCTTTGACATTCGTGTTAAACCTCCTACGTGGATGTTAATGTTTCAGTTAAGGGAACCTTATTCAGTCTATGAGATGAATAGGCATAAAATTATTGACAGCTTTTAATTTAATATGTTTCACTTACAGATTAATATTAGAGCAGTTGGTGCGGATGTATTTACGTTGTTGATGCAAAACATGTCGGTTAGCCGATGTTTTTACCCTATATAGTAGGTTTGTTGTGTCTCTTCGTACATGTATAATAATGGCCCGTGACCCTCATATTATACAGAATCCTACCTTCGCTACACTGATGTATCTGCAGCTTTCTAAGAAGGCGCGATTTGAAATGTCCTTGTAGTTTATGTTTTATATTAACAGCTCCTAACAGTCTTCTTAGCTTAGCACATGCTGTCTTCGTCAGGGATATCAAGTACAGTTTTACTGCTGAACTCTATGAATTTTGCTGTTCCCAAAGGCCTCGTGGCATCAAGCAGAGTTTTAATCATTTCAGTGAAGGATAACTTGATGGCGGGGCACTGTGCTACAAACCGGAAGGTCGCGTGTTAGATTCCCGATGAGGTCATTATTTTTTTTAGTTCACCTAATCCTTTCAGCTGCACTACGGTCCTTTGGTCGAATCAGGCTATAACAGAAATCAGTACCAGGAATCTTCCGGGGGTAAAGGGCTGCAGGCGCGTAAGGCTAACAACCTCACCGCCATCTGTGAGCTGATTGTCTAGATAATGTGGGCGCCTCGACGTCTCACAACCCTGTGGGCCTTCACGGCCTGGTACAGAGATAGGTTTACCTTTCTTATAACTTTGTGCCTAGAAACCTCTGTGTTCAGCACATTACGACTAAATGTAATTCCAGTTCGATAATATTAATTAAGCAGCCTCTGCTGAGATGGATTCGTATGGGTTTGTACGCCCAGTGCGGGTGAAGAATTTTCTATCCTCTCCTATAGAGCACCCACAATGAATGAAATTACCCTACCACGTACATGTAAATGTACATGCTATAGAAAACTGCTTACACGGTTGCAGTGTCTGTTTTGTAATACGATATGAGTATTGTACTGTGCCGTACTGTAAGAACAAGATTGACTACCACAAATATTGTGCAGACTGATGGAATATTTGGTTCTTAAAATGGTATGAGTATTAAACCTACTTTATGAACTATAGGGAGCCGGGATAGTGCAATCGGTATACCGACTGGCTATGGGCTAAACGGACGAGGGGTCGGAGTTCAAGCCCCCTATGCGTAAGATTTTTCTACTCTCCACGTCGTCCAGACAGGCTCTAGGGCTCACCCAGCCTCATGTCCAATGGGTACCGGGGGCGTTTTCACCTCGTGTTAAAGCGGCTGTGGCGTGAAGCTGACCATTCACCTCCATTTAGTGCCAAAGTCTAGAATAATGTACCTGTACCCCCACTCCCCAGTACATCTTCAGTGTATCTTGATTAATTAATTAAACACGAGTGTGGCTTTGCCTTTACCTTTTTAACTTAAATATTTGTGGGGTGGGTACGTCGGCCACCAACTGGCCTGTTGTACCAGCCCCGGATGATAATGATGAGTGTGGAGCAGTCGTTGGAATGAGAATTAGCAGGGGTAACAGAAGAACCCGGAGGGAACCTGCCCCAGCGCCACTTTGTCCACCACAGATCCCACATGACCTGACCTGGGATCGAAGCCAGGCCGCTGCTGTGGAAAGTCGGCGACTAACCCTCTGAACTATGGCACGGCCTTCCCTTTACCTTACATCCATAATTAAAACTTAAAGGCTGCAAACGATACATGAATGTTCAACCCTTTGGGATCCTATTTGTTTTTCTGTTTGTTGCTCTCAGGTCCAGTGTTTTTTTAACTAACTGCACCATTTCTTCTCTTTAAGTTTTCGGACAATGCCAAAATCTGTCCGGACCGAATCCAGTTTGTGACCGCAACGGAATATTCAAGGGACGAACAGAATGATCTTGAGAAGATAGGAATGGCTCGGAAAGTCAGATTCACATTTGCGCATGCTCAGAAGAGAAGCCACTGAATCCTATCCTGGTCGAGATGAACCTCCGCCACTTCTCCCCCCACTCTCCTGTTTCCTTTATAGATATTTTAACATTATACAGCACCGATTTCATGGAAGAGAACTGATGTTTCTTTCATGAACAAATAAGATGATGACGTCATAGAGCTCTCGTCTTATATCTTGACTGGTTAGAGATATTGTATAATCAACAACAGTTTCAGGCTAGAATTGCGACTGATCGTCAGTTTAACCGTATCGTTATAGAAACGAATGTGCAGGGTGATTCTAAATTATTGTCACGGTTTCCGGGGTCTATAATTTTCAAATTCCAGTCTAGAAAACCAAAATTAATGTCCGTGGGCATCCGTTGCGCTGAGCACACAACATCCTCAATCTGTTAAATTTGGAACTTACTTCGCTGACACGCGGCGGTCGCTCGGTCGGTATAGTTGGCTTGCAGACTGAAGCCACGGATCTTATTTTTTGTCTTGTCTTATAATTTTAAAACCGGAAAAACAAAATAAAGCAGCTTATGGAATATGAAAGTGTAACTCAAAAAGATTTATGACTTATAGAATCAGTACTGCAGAATGCTAAACAACTTAACAAGGGCGTCTTTCATGGCACATAAGCAGTTTTATTTAGTTGTTTCCGGTTTGAAAATAATAGGCCACTGAAACTCCGACAGTAATTTAGAATCACTATGTGTAATTGTTTTCGCGTTTCGAAAGTGTTGATTGAAGGAAGATCAAGTTTATTTTTCTGTGGTCTGTATTCAGGACATTTCCGAATTCGAATGCGAGCTTGCATTATCCTGAAGAAAGCAGTCTTCTGGGATTTGGCGCCGTGTATATGTGGTGTTAACCGACGTTTCGGAGGAACGTATCGCAGTCTGCTTTTACCGGTTCTCACGGTCTCTTCGCTTGCAGATTTCTTATATTTTTTCTTCTACCCTGAAGATGGAGGCGATACGTTCCTCCGAAACGGCTGTTAACACATATACACGGCGCCAAATCCAAGAAGACTGCTTTCTTCATAGTCACCGCCGTGAAAGCCTCAAATCTTACATTGCCTTATCCTGTTATACGTGCACTTATTTCCTTAGGCTGAAGGATTTGTTGCAAGAACCAGTCACACACAGCAAGCATAATTTAAGAAGTGAGGGAGACTGAAGAACTATTTGCAAATTTGTGCTTGGAGTTTAAAAAGTGGAACTTCTGAAAAGAGACCTTCAGCCTGTACTGACTGCAAGCAACTAATTCCTGTGCCAAATAATATAGCGTATTTGTTTCAGTACAAACATACTGTTGGGGCACGCGGTAGCGTAGTTGGTTGAGGCACTATGCTACAAGCCTGAAGGTCGCGGGTTCAAATCCCGATGAGGTCGTTGGATTTTTTTTCAGTTCACCTAATCCTTCCAGCCGCATTATGGCCCTGGGGTTTACTGAGCCTCTAACAGAAATGAATACCAGGAATATTCTTGCGGGTAAAGGGCGGCCGGCGCGTAAGGCTGACAACCTTGCCGCCAACTGTGGGCCAATTGTCTGGAAAATGTGTGAACCTCAACATCTCACAATCCTATGGGCCTCCACGGCATGTTACAGGGCTACCTTTACTTACTTTTCCTTTTTTACAAAAATATTCTTAACCCATTTTTCGAAACTTGGCTCTTGACTAGTTCTTGCACGAAGCCCTTCTGTTCCTCTGCCTTGTGCTGGGGTTGTTCCTTACTGCTGATCCATTTCAATATGTGCTTTATGCCAGCATGGGCTTCTGGGTGTCAATGGAATTCAACAGTTTTCGCATGTAGATGTCAGGGCGCATTACACAGGCCGATACTGTCAATACTAGACGTCCTGACACTTGTGAGACCTTCTGGGTTCTAAGGACTGATCTTAAGGGAGGAGAGCCTTAATTAAAGAGGACCTTTCAGAAATTTACATCATTAGCCAACTTTCCTTATTTTGAAAAAATAAAAAGGCTTATAAAACCACCTTGCTCTCTGTCGGGTTTATCTGTCTGTGTACCATCACCTTGCTTTCTGTCTTTGTACGTTGGTTCTCGCTAAATTTTTGTTAAGAGGCTTGTGAGATCACCTTTCTGCCTGTCTGTCTGTCTGTCCCCCCTTAGTTTTCTCGTTTTCATTGCGGTCCGTGTCGTAACAAAGTAGACTGTTATTTCTCCCCATATTTTTTTACATTAGCGCTACAGCCCCAAATTGGGCCTTGGCCTACTTCCATGAGACTCTCCGTTTCACTTCGGTTTGCTAGATCTTAGATATTCGGTAGGACTCCTTGGTCGAGTGATCAGCTCGTCGCAAGGCCTCTACCTGTATATAAACACAGAAAAACTCGCGAGCACATACACACACAAACACTAAATATCCATGCCCTGAGTGGGATTGGAACCCACGATCCCGGCCTCCGAGCGAGCAAAGACAGTTCATGCCTTAGACCGCTCGGCTACCGTGACCGGCGAACTACTTATATATTCGTAATTAAATAAGTTGAACATTTTCTCTGTCTGCAGGTCCACGAATTGTGCGACAACTTCTGCCACCGGTACATTAGTTGCTTGAAGGGTAAGATGCCCATTGACCTGGTAATCGACGAACGGGAGTCGACTAAACCTCCCGAACTCACCGGCTCCACCAATGGTAACGACGGTGCCCGCAGTAACGCCGACTCAACATCCCACACGGACGGCGCCAGCACCCCGGACGTGGTGAGTACTGAAACCTCAGCCAGCACTTCAATATCCCGCGTCCAGTAGTTCTGGGTCACAGATGAGGGCGCGTACGGCTCCTCACTCCTGTCCTGTATGTCATATTATCCGTGAATGATAAGTCGTACTGGGAGAAAAGCCGCGTCGTTTGTGGAGCTGTAACTAACTTTTAAGTATGATGTTAGCAGCAAAGATTGCGTGTCTTCTTCCAGTTGGGTGTGTTGCAGAGAGAACTACTCTTTTCGACGCACATTTTCCTTCCTGATCTGTGATTGAGCTTTAAATCTGAAGTCACTGATGTTAGCTCCTGTTACTACTTTGTGTAAGGATGGTTGTAGACTTACATCAACTGTGAATTTAGATTAGCGTTGTGACTGAAATTTGCAATAGAATTAGAGGAAGAGGACCACATCTATGGTCTAGTGGTCAGCGTTTTTGGCTACAGATCCAGAGGTCCGGGTTCGATTCCCGGCGCTACCAGATTTTTTTCGGAGAAGTAGTGGGTCTGGAACGGGGTCCACTCAGCCTCATAAGGTCGATTGAGGAGCTGTTTCAAGGAAATAGCGGCTCCGGTCTAGAAAACCGAAATTAACGTCCGTGGGGATTCGTTGTGCTGACCACGTGACACCATCTATCCGTAAAAGTTGGCACTAAGCTTCGCCGACAAGCGGCGGTCGCTCGGTCGGTATGGTTTTTTTTTAGAGGAAGAGGAATAAGAGAATTAATGGTGTATTCTGATCAGAATATATCCATGAAATGTTTAGCAACCGGAAGAAATGTAGGACTATTAGACACCTAACTACCGTCAGTTTTACTGTAGATTGCAGGGGCAAGCGTGTCGAACTCTCGGCTTCCGCGTAGCGATTCATACCAAGAGGGCCCTGCCGTCCGGTTCTTGATTTTCCCATCATCGGCCGTGAGTTCTCCAAGCAATGTAAGAGGAAAAGGTGCGTGAGCCGTGTTCTGAACGCATGGCTAATCCGTGTCTGAAACCTTTGCCGTTTTGCACCTTCTGCCTGCTCAAATCTGCTGTCATGTTAGATTAGCCGATGTTTTCAGAGCTGGTAAAGTGGAGAAAAGAAAAGCCGCTTCTTCATTTTGGCCTGAGAGACATTTAGAGCGAAGGATGAGCAGAGATTGTAGTCAAGATTTACATTTGCAGGCGATCCATTTCCTTTCTGACCAATAGCCACCTTTCATTGTCACGAGAAAGGTAAAAGGCAAAGATGTCGCTGTGCTTCACTAATTAAGCACTAGGCCATGAAGGCGTATGGGGAGTGGATGCATAGATTAACGTATTCTTGACCTCGGCACTTGATGGAGGTGAGTGGTCAGCTTCACGCCCCTGCCGCTTTACCTCCGGTACCCATTGGATAGGAGGCTGGGTGCGCCCCACATCCAGTCTGGACCATATGGAGGGGAGAATATTCTGACCCTACCGGGATTCGAACTCCGACCTCGCTCGTCCAGCTTGTAGGCAGTCACTAGAACGAGTATCAGGTAGTAGTGACATACTTTGTTTTTTATTTATTCTTGAATTGTTTAACTGTGCATTTAGTTTCTCTTATTATGCAGTGTCGAATTTTGGGTTAATTAGTGAGGAGTGAATTAATTGGTAATACTGTTAAAGTGGCCATCATGGCGCTATTTAAGGCACCTGGCGGGACGGGGTGCAGTCTGAAAAATTTTACTCTTGGTAGCCTGTGTCTGGGTCGAGATTTGGACGTGGACCTTCCATATACGAATAAGGAATTTTGAGTATTTCACCTCGACTCTTGATATAAAAATGTCGAACATATGAATTTCCTAAAGTTGTGTATATGTTACTGCAAATAAGGGTCGGTTACTTTCAACTGTCGCCGCTTTGGAAGCCCTACATAAATTTTAGGCTGTAAACCCGAAGGGAAAAGCCTTTGGTGGTGTAGATGAGAGGATAACATATAAAAATTGATTTTAATTTAAAGAATGAGGGTGGATTCACCCCGGCTGAGGATGTAGTCCAATGATGGGTCCTTGTGTACATAGTCCCATATAAGGCAGTGGCAGCCAGTTAGTCATTCAGCAGTTAGCTTAAGCGGTTAGTCGCTGGCTTCCCACCGCAGCGGCCCGGGTTCGATCCTGGGTCTGGTCAAGTGGGATTTGTGGTGGACAAAGTGGCGCTGAGGCAGGATTTCTCAGAGTACTTCGGTTTCCCCTGCCAATCTTCATTCCACCAATTACTCCACAATCACCCTCACCTATCATCTGGTGCTGGTACAATAGGCCAGAAGTGGCCGCAGTACAAGGGACTTAGTCCCACCTACTAGTAATAAAAAAATAGTCATTTAGCGAGCCAGTCAGTCAGATGGAGTTACACGAATGGTCCCCGGGTTTCCAGGCTCCCGTAACCCAGCAGTATAGTCCCCACCTACAACGGCACATCGTCGAAATGGTGTCTGACCTCGCTCGTAACCATTTCACATGTCGAATTCGAGTTCATGTATGCAGAAAATCCGTTGTATTGTTGTTGTAATTTTATTTGAGAGGGGGGAACAGAAACATTGCGTTTTACCGTCATCTGAGCCCTGTACTGTTTTATCAGTTGTGTGTAGACTTATCCGGTCATATGTAAGTAACATTTCCCCTTGTGTTAACGATGTGTTGAAGGTACAAAATTCGTGAAATAAATTGTAATTTTTGCCTTCGTAGAGTCAGATTTCTACGGGTATGAAACTAGACTCATCAAAATTGCCGATACATCTTAATGAATTTATGGTTTTCATAGGTTTTTAAATCATCATCACAATCACCATCTAGCATTCTAGGATAAGGTCTGGCCCGTTCTGACCTCACACATGTGTCGGGTAATTCATGATGTACGGTACGTCCTAATTACTGAAGTGGCCGCGCCGTAGCTCAAGCGGTCAGTCGCTGGCTTGCCACCGCTGCGGCCCGGTTTCGATCCCGGGTCTGGCCAAGTTGGATTTGTGGTGGACAAAGTGGCTCTGGGGGCGGGTTTTCTCCGAGTACTTTGGTTTCCTCTGCCAATCTTCATTCCATCAAATTTTCCATCTTCATAATCACCCGGGGCAGGCTACAATAGGCCAATCAGTGGCCGCCGTGCCCAGTGGACCCAGTTGGACTCCACCACCCACTAAGCGAATTTAAGAAAAGTACTGAAGCGCGCATCTAGTTCTGCCTCCGCGAATTTCTACTTTTTAGTATGTGGATTATTTTTAAATATAAGAAAAACAGTTAGAAATGCGGAGCCACAGACTAAACTTCTGTTACATCGAAGTGTTAACGTGACGTCATGTAGACATAACACAACTCAGTGTTACCGGGTAATATGGGAAGGGTTAGAACTCACCCACAGAAACTGTAATCGATCGAATAAATACAGTTCGGCATTTCACATTCACTTTAAACAATGTGTTGACTGAACGGTGAAGGGGCGAGGAGTCTTCAGACACGAATTGTTCTTCTGTGTAGTTCGCCGTCTCTGATTCAATATGCCTGATGTTTGTTAACTAAAATATGCTGGACTTTGAAGGTTTTTGTTGCGGACAGGTAATTTCAAAGGCGTAATTCTGGTTTCCAATCGTACTTTTGTGTAAAAAGACTCCGAGACTAGTTTCATAAATAAATTATTTGAATAAATGCTAATGTCAATAAGACAAGACACTTAGCTTTCGGAAATTACCCTAACAACATTAGAGCTTATGGAGCATATCTTATTGTTCAGTAAGCATACTGTATTTTTTTTGTATACATTGTTTTTTAAGGATAGACAATGAATGTTCTCCTTGTGTTGTAGTATATGGAAGGTAATTGTATTGCGTGAATAAGTGAACTATAGTTAGCATTTCCCCCTGAGTACAGCGGCAGGTGACTATGACAGCTACTATGGTATTCCTGTAGCTACAGCGACGATCTGTGTATACATACCCAATTATCGTGAGGCATTTCGTATTGTTTAATGTATAATCAATACTGCAACTTGGAGTAGAGAAGTCGGTTTACGAAGGAGCAGCCAGCAGGTTTTGAGGGCTGATTACTAGTGCCAAGCGATTTAGTATGCGGTGCCTAGACAGGACGCCTGAATTGCATTAAATAGCAAATTCTCTCCCCCTTCCACCCCTTTCTCATCTGACGTTTCTCGTTGAAGAAACGGACTCACAGAACTGTCCATGTCTGATTATCTGTAAACACAGATGGTCGTTAGTCGTTCTATTTATGAAGGTTTTTAGTTTCATATTTTATGATACAAACAAGAAATTTGATGGACGTAAAAAATGGTAAGTTGTGTTTCAGTGACTTAAGAACTGACTTCCTCCGTACGAAATTTATAAAGCTTCATGTCATGTACTTAAAGTTATATATTTTTATGAGGGCCAGTTGGTACTTTCGCATACTGACTTTGTATTTTTAAGCTGAATATGATACTTGTTTCCGGTCTAGAAAACCGAGATTAAAGACCGTGGAGAACCGTTGCGCCGACCACGTGACACCCTCTATCCGCAAAAGTTGGCACTAACTTCGCCGACAAGCGGCGGTCGCTAGGTCGGTATAGTTCGCTTGCGGACTACAGGCCACGGAGTTCTTTTGTTTGTTTATATCATACTTTTTACTGCTCTAAGCTTAGTGGTTTTAATATGCTTTTACATTTTACACATATATTGTTAACCCTAAGCACTTTGTAATGTATTTGCAGTTTAGTTACTCAGCTCTCATTTATTGTCAAGTTTAATGAGATTATCATGTCCTGCCGATTTGTCATATGCGACATCGCTACATAAAAATGAGGAGACAGAGGATGCAAGTCCCTTCAGCCAAGAATCGAAGCCCGTTATGCTAATTCATTCGTAGCCCGAATTTCTATCCCATTGTAGGCAACTAAGGGGTGAATAAGGCCGCGCCATAGCTCAAGCAGTTATCGCTAGCTTCCCACCGCGGCGTCCCGGGTTCGATCCCGGGGTCTGATCAAGTGGGATTTGTGGTGGACAAAGTGGGGCTGGGGC